TCCTTCCATATTTCATTGTTGAAAAGTAAAATCCAATCGAGCTGCTTCTTCCCACGAACCACTACCCTGCAGATTCGACCCCCGACGGGATGATTCTCCGGTCGCTACAATCTTAATATATTCAAGGCTAGATTTAATCGTTATCTCTCTCACCTATACACGCAAATGAACTCCTAACGTAATCCTCTACTTCGAGTGGCCCCCGAGCTTTTAAGGGTGACCCTGACTGTAAAAAAAAAAAATGTAATGAATTTGACTGGAATTCAAACACGGCTCCTTGATTTCTCATTCCGTGTCGATATCCATTACACTACACGCCATTCAAATAAATCGATATTTACACGAAATTTGAACTCGTATCTCTCATCTCGCGTTGTAGGTGGCGTTCATGAAAGTCTCGCTACCGAAGTGTTCTAGTCTCGTCTGAAGCTATTTCTAATTTCGCGTTGTTTGCTTCAGCAGTCGGATCTGCATATTTATTCAGAATGTAGCGATAAATTGTACCTACTTACCACACTAACTTCCTATTCGACAGACAGAGGGCGCTTCATTCGAAAGTCTATATATGGACACAAGGACAATAAAAACTGTTCTTATTTGACCGAGCAGACAGGCTTATAATAATTCCGATTCGTTAAAGAAGACATTCTTGGTTGCTTCTGGGAAAAAAAAAAAAGATTTAATCCCAGAGAGTTACATCTAAGGAGAATAGAGATGAATAAAAATATGAACGTGTCTCGAATTTGGTGAAAGAAACATTTAATTATAGAATATATATTTGAGTTATCTCGATTTTTCTGGTTTATTTTTGTAGGTGAAAGGAGAAAAAATGTCCTAAAATAAAAACATAAGTGTGGCGTTACTTCAGGTAAAACGTGAGTCAAATCGGAAACTTGTCACTTTTGGTGTCATCGAACATTTTCAGTAGTTGTACTCATCGTGGAGTCGAGTGTCTTTTTGTTGGTGCTAGCCAAAAGCCTGAAGGCAGTTGAAGACGGTCGGGGAATCGTCAGCATATATCTTCTGTAAGAAATACGCTGTGTTCTCCGAAGTAAATTTCAAAAGTAACTTCTAAGAGTAAAAACGTCACGAATGGTGAATGTTAAAATTACTAGTTCAATAAAAATGGGGGAATCTACGTAAAGAAAAACCTAACACCCATTGATTCGCCATGTAAGGTGAGAGAGTCTTATTATTTCAAAACAAGAAAAATCCTGAGACAAAGATGAAGAAATTTTCGCTCCGGATGTGTGTCTGTGTATGCGAACGAGTGATCGAGCGAGAGAGACAGAAAGAAAGAGATAGATAGATAGATAGATAGATAGATAGATAGATACACACACACACACACACACACACACACACACACACACACACACCCAGAGTGAGAGAGAGAGAGAGAGAGAGAGAGAGAGAGAGAGAGAGAGAGAGAGAGAGGCAGCATTGAACATTATTTTTCAGATACGAGAATTAAACATTCAGAAACTTTTATGTAGGTACCTCCAATAATTCGCTAAAAAAATAGTATAGCATGATGATAAATGTCCCCAAATTTAATAAAAACAGTTTTAACCTTAAAATGTTAAAGTTATTAAGAGGAAAGAACAAAGTATTTTTAATTATTAAAAAAAAAATCCTCCTTTCTAACACGTTCTAAATTTGGCTCAAAAATCTCGTTTTTTTTTCAACATTGTAAGACTTATGGTAATGGACATTTGTAGTGTAGCAGTTTCCAGTATAAAACCCATTAATTTGGAAATTCTTGCAAAAATCAAATAATTGTCTGATTTTAATGAAAATTTCAGAATTTATTAAAAAATGAATGAATTTATTTCTGAAATTTTTATTTTTAGAAAATCTTGGTAAAATTATTTTTTACATCTGTTACTACCCCCCATAACTTAATTTTATGAAATTATCTAGAATTTCAATTAGTTCGCAAATTGTTTTATATTACTTATAAGCAGGACTCCTTGGAGAAAATAAATCATTAATTTTTTTTTTCACATCTACCCCCAAATTTTTAAAAAATCTGCCTATATTATTTTTGTGCGACAAAATGTTATATTTTATTAGTATGATGTATCATAGGTGATATTATGGTTAAAAGATTACGTGTTTCAAGGCTTGTCCCCCTTAGAGAAAACTTGACATAAAGTTTTTTGGCTGCGAGCAATGCTTTTATTTCACTTCTGTGTTTCATCTTCCCCATGTTTCAACAGGCTTCTTCTTAAATCTTGAAGGGATGATTTCTAAAGTTTTTTTTTACTATTTCACTAAATATTTTAAATTTTTCTATATACTCTTTCTACTTTGTAGTGTGTATACTTTTCATAGTGTGTTTCATGCATAATTTGTTATATTTATAAGTTTTTTTACTTAGTTAAGAAAAATAATTTAATTTGATTTTAGTTTATTTAAAATTTCTTTTCCTTTTTGCGAGTTAAGTAAAATAGCGTTAACAATTCATAACCATCAAAGTAAAGCAATTACTAATAAAGAATATAAATATATTATCTCAGTTAGTTAAAAATTTAATAACTGAGAGTGAGTTAATAATTTAATTTTTAATTTAATAAACTGAGATAATATAATTAAAATTATTATATTATGTCGATTATCAATTTAAAAATTTAATAATTGATAGTGAGATAGTTATTAAATTATCACACTCTCAGTTATTAAATTAAAAATTAAACTGAGATAATAAAATTATCTCATCAATTTAAGCAATTAATAACTGAGATAATTTAATTATTAATATAGTAATAATTTTATTAATTATTATCTCAGTTATTAAATTAAAAATTTAATAACTTAATGTAATATAAATAATTGATAAAATTATTTATCATTACCTTAGTTATTAAATAATGAAATACCATTATACTGGTAACTCACTAATGTAAGAATTTTTTATAGTATTTTAAATTGTTATAAGAAAGAAAAAACACTAAAAAAAACCGTTCTTAGAATTCATAAAATTATGTCAATTCTTTGTGTCTAATGAATGTTTCCGTTTCTTTATAATTTTTTTTTTAGCTTTTATAAACTATCCAATGCATCTTCGGATTTCGGTGTCATTTGGCAGATATCTAAATTTAGGTATGGGCTTGATTTTTGGTATTTCCAATTCGTAGTTCACATACAAAATAAAAACGATCAGTTTTTACTCTATCAACACGTTTGTCATCCCTTCTACCCGGCCTGTCGTTCCCCCCCCCCTGCAAAGACCGCAAGAGCACCCAGGAGATGATAAGATCCCTTTACATGGTTTGTAATCAGAGAACAGCACGTCGGATACGATAACCAAGAAAAACTGTTTTGACCTGACAAATCTATGAATTACTATAAACATTCACTGATTCAAGTAAACACACGTGTTAGAAATATACAGAATGTGGTACACACGACATACTTATCATGTAGACTTGTGTATACAAGTCATTGACTTTTGAAGAACTTATATCAAATTTTTCTGGGAACGACACGCATTTCTTTCTTAAGGTTATCCAGCCTATCAGACGGTGACAAAATAAAATTAAAAAAAAAGATTCTCTCTCAGTCAATAAATCGTCTTGGTTCACGTAAAAATAATTTCAGCAACTAATTCCAAATTTACTTCTCTAAGATATATGCTTAGGCGATCATGTATCTTTCGTTACATGACTGACGAGTCAAATTTTTTTCCCGCAGTACGTTGCCATTTCTTTCTGCGGTAGACCAGTTGCCATTGGGATGAGAAGAGGATTCATATTAGCACGTAAGTGAATGTAATGAATTCGACTGGAATTCGAACTCGGCTCTCCAATTCCGTGCCTCCATATAAAGACAATGCAAATATCAGTCTTATTAGAAGAGGAAAAAAATAATTAAAAATAGTTTCATATTTTATTGAATTCTTTATTAGATGAAGCATTGTTTGATCTAAGTAAATGCGGAAAAAAAAACCCATCTACAATTAGGATGAAAGAGATAATGTCCCAAATGTATTAATGAATGCTTCATCTACGAAAATTCGGTCAACTTATGACTTTAATTTGATTTTCTTTTGAGTATTGTTATCATCATTGATTTTTAAAGATGTTATTATTTAGCGCGATGTTTCGCCAAAGTACTTTCCGTTAATTTGCAATGTAAGCACAGAAAGCCAGCGGTATTTAGAAGGTACCATTTTGATGTGAAATTGACTGGTTATTTCGAAAATGACATTAAAAAATTGCGCTTGATTACCGTTTAGAACTTCTTTCTCGTCGCGTACACAGAACGTCCGCCATCACTGGCTTTGTTTACATACGTTTGCCTCGAGTAATCCCGCGGAGCGGAAGCTTCACTTGTCTTAATTACTGCGCGAAGTTTGAAATAAATGCGCAAAATAATGCATGAAAAAGCGTAAAATCCGACAATAAAAATAAAATGAAATAAAAAATTACATGATTGAAAAGTGAAAGAAAAAAAAAAAAAAGGATTTTTTCGTTTTTTTTCAACAATGTTTTTTTTACGAGTCGTGAGAATTTCATGAATTTAAAGTTTCATAAATTACATTTTAGGGTGAGATTCCGTTTAGCTATAAGCAGATTTATTAAGGACAATAAAGAAAAAAATACCATTTATTTAAAAATCCATTTAAAAAATAAGCGCATTTTAAAATAACATCCGCAAAAATCGCGCAGTAATCAAAACCAGTAAGATACGAAAAGCTGTAAAAAGGCCGTTAACTAAGTAAGCTTCCGCGCATTACGACTAGAGGAAAACGTATATAAAAAACGCCAGTAATGGCGGCTGAACAATGCGAAAGATATCGAACTTACATTGACGATATATTGAAAACGGTAATCGAGTACAATGTTTTAATGTCATTTTCGAAATAACCAGGCAATTTCACACCAGAATGGTAAATTTTTATTACCCCTCTTTTGGGGCTCATACTGTAAATTAGCCGTACTTTTTCGCCATCTTAAGTACAAATAGGACACTTTCAAAATAATAGTTATATTTACGAGTAGCACATGGAGGGGGAGAGAGAGAGAGAGAGAGAGAGAGAGAGAGAGAGAGAGAGAGGAGAGAGGGAGAGGAGTGTGAGAGCTGGGAGAAAAGGGAAAGAGTAGAAGAGAGAGGGAAAATGATAAAGTGAGAAAGAATATAGATAAGGAGTAGAGAAGAGAGAGAATGGGAGAGAGGGAAGAAAAAGTGAGGAGGTAGAGAGAGAGAGAGAGAGAGAGAGAGAGAGAGAGTGGAGTGGGTGGAAAAGAGATAGAAATACACGGTGTATAGAGAATGAAGACTAAGTAGTAGTAGCAGAGAGATGCAGAAGAGAGGAGAAAAGAGAAAAGGAAAGAGAGTGCGTGGGTAGAAGAGATAGAGGAGTTGGATGAGTTATAGAGTGGGTAGTAGTAGGAGAATAGTAATAGAAGAATGAGAGGGTAGCAGTGAGAATAATGGAAATAGAAGAGCGAGAAAAGGGAGAGACGGTAAAGAATGATTGGGAAATAAGAAAGAGAATGAGAAGGAGAAAGCGACGGTGGATGATAAGGTAGTGGGAGAAAGAAAGTAATAGAGAGAGTATTGAAAAGCAGGAAAGAAAAGAAGGGAAAAAATAAGAGTAAAGATGGAAGAGAAAGAAAGAGAGTGGATAGAGAGAGAAAACAGAATGGAATTCCATCGATCGTCGCAGAATTTTTTGCCTTCTTTTACACGACAAACTAATTTTTCTGTAATAATTTTGCCAACAAAATATCAATATTTCTGTATAATTAGGCTTTCCAATTATTAATTAAAACGAAAACAAAAAAAAAAAAACAGAAAGAACAAAGGAAACAGCATTTTTTACAGAGTTATTAATTCTAATATTTACTTTTTTTTTTTGGAGAATTTGTCGAATTTTAGAAAAAGTTATCGAGTTTTGTTTGAAATGAGTGAGAAACTTTAGCCACATTTAAAGGAACATCACCAAGACAAATTTCTTTTTCGAAATTTCGACTTATAACTTTGAAAAAAAAAATCGTGAAAATCTCCTTTTTTTGGTTGGGGTAATTTAAGGGAATCTACAAAGTGTTATAAACCTCAGGTTATATCTACAACACGCACACACGTACATACACACACACGTCCAGACACACATATACACACATATATATTGTTAAACATTTGCTATATTCATGGTGGAAGGGTGCCTAATATCAGCCATAGAGATTATGTACAATGTAAACAGAGGAATCAACAATGCATAATGACAAGTAATTTCACACCTTAAGCAAAGATCAGATCATTCATCATAAGACAACTGATGTGTATCCTATATATATATATATATATATATATATATATATATATATATATATATATATATATGAAGAAATATAGTCTTAACATATATTTATATATGGGATAAAGTACTCAATATCAGAGATAGAGCATGTGTCAATATAAAAGTGATCTTCCGAGCAACGCCGGGGTATCTACACTAGTCTGTATATATATATATATATATATATATATATATATATATATATATATATATATATATATATATATATACAGCCAAGTAATGCCCAATATTTATAAGAGATACATTTCAATTTCAGATCTCTCGAAGATTATATCATCTGATAACGTTTTTTTTTTCGTATCTGCAACGTAAACGAAGTAATTTCTGAATAAGTTTTTAATCATTTTATGTTTTAACAAAGCGATAAGGAAATGAAAACTTATGTGGGTTACTGTGAGTGAAAGAGAATGAGGAGAATTTAGTTTAGGAATAAGGACAATAAAATAACGTGTTTCAGGAAGACAGAAGATTGCGAGTGAGGTTATATTTGATTTTTTGAAGATTGTAGGTGACAGGAAAGCAAAAAAAAAAACTAAATGAGTCGTTTTATTTAAGACTACAATTTTTTATGGCAATTTTTATCCATTTGTGAAGCATTTATGGGACGTTGTATATTCCATTGAATGATTGTGCAACTTCAAATATCTACAGCATTGCTTAACATCATCCCAGAAGACTTTCAACCATTCACTTCGATGGACTAAGGGGCGTACTAAATTGCACTAGAGCATCAAATTTTGGCACTTCACGAGGTGGTTATTTTTTGGAGAAAGTCTCAGCACATTCCTTTATGGCATTTTGAATATAGATAAAATCGGTTACGGGGCCTGGATATGACTTGTTCTTTAATCAGAATCAACCTTACTGCGTTTCGTGAACAGAGACTCTGTTTCTGAGGCGCCGCTAAGTGGGTCCGTTTAAACTGTGTTATCGTTGCATGTAAAATGACAAATCCAGTATTTCTTGCATATCCTTGGGCAGAGTCCCCCCTCCAATAAAACAATATTTCACCCAGGGTTGTCAGTAACACCCACCTCTATAGATGTTATTTGTCTTTCTGCAGCTTTTTTTAATTTTTTTAATGCTAAAATTCTCGTTCAAAAACGGTGGACGAGATTAGAATGAAACGAGACCAATAATGAAATCGAAAGTGTCTTTTTTTTTCTTTTTTCTTTAAGTTGGACGCATGCTGGGATAAATATGTGAGTTTTCCAGTAGAATACTTAGAATACTTTGGAATAAAGTACCAATTTTCTAGGCAGCCTATTTTCTAATTAATATTAAATAGCTTGATATTTTGTGAATAGACCTCGTTTGTTTAAGTGAGTTCGACTGTAGAAAGGCACACTTTTATTTCATTTGATTAGAACTTTGCCGGAAAAATATCAGCAAGGGTAAAAATCGATGATCCGTAATTGGAAATCGGGAAAAATGAAAATAAACAATGGTCATGTGCATATTAATTAATGTTTGAAGTTATACAAATGGCGTTCACCTTTCATCAAATCACGTCATTGGGGTTTATATTACCTTTATCATCAACAGTCAAGCCAATATAAATTATTGAGAACATGTCAAGGGAGGTAAAGCGCTTCAATTTTAAAGCTTCAAATTATAAATCGATTACGCAGAGTTTTAGATGATAAATTATTTTTCACCCTGCAAACCACCTTTCTTCTCACTTACACGAAATATTGCTAGCCTCTTGTTACTGTATGGGAAATGTTCAGACTATTCCTTAGTTCAACCAGTTCAGATCTTCACAGCCAGCACCCGCCATGCCACGTATACAGAGTCGAATCATCTTCATTTCCTCCGTAAGAACGATATTCCACCCTGACAGCTTTTTCTCTAGAACTTTATGGAACAGGCTCCCGAGTGGATGCTTCTCCGATCATTGAACCCCTAGGGTTAAACAATATCTATCCTGCATATCCTTATCATATGCGTTCCTTTCTCCTCCTTTTACGCCTTTACATCAGTCTCATTCAATAAAATCTACCTTGAGTGCCTCTTGTGTCTTATATTAGGTGAACAATTGTATAAAAATTCACTCTACAAGAATTATGCTTTAAAATTTTCAAATATTTTGGAGATACGGAGTGACTACATTAAATAGGAAAAAGAAAAATAATGGGTGGAAATATTTGATCGCAACAGGAACTCAGATCCGCCAATAGATGGCGCTCGATGTTATTAATAGAAATCCTTTCATTAATGCGCTCAGTACTTTTTTTTATCTTCCTGTTTTACCCAGTTGCATGAGGACTCATTGATTCACAAATAAGTAAACTGCAGATTGTAGGTGGTGGTTGTATGGCTGACACTTCTCGGGGCAAAGGTGACTCTACGTCAAAAACAATTCGTTTTCACAAGGTAAATGTGGATGCCGGTGTTGTTCCCCTGTTTAAGCATTCAGCCTGGATGAATTGGTGGAAGCGACAAATAGTAAAAGCATTGGAATCAGGATACGGTATGGAATAAGACAGACAGACAGATAGATAGATAGATAGATAGATAGATATACTGACTTTTCAACCAGCACTTTTCTTCATTCGAACTGGGCCTTTTTTAGAAACCAAGAAAACTGTCAGTAGGTTCGGACATTTAGTATATAAATCGAAAAATAAAGTTTTTTTTTAAATAAAAATATTGGGATACTCAGCTCCCTACCCCCCCGAGTGTGATGTTAATTTAGATATACTGTAACAAAACAAAAACAAAATAAAAAACAATGAAGTTTATTTTTTAAAAACTGAATAAAAATATTTTCCATAGGATGGCTGAAAAATATCAATAAATTATAAGAGATCTTCCGAGCAACGCTGGTATCCACGCTAGTCTGTATATATATATATATATATATATATATATATATATATATATATATATATATATAAGCATGTTTGGTTAAATAACCTGGATATATTAGATCTATTTATTTTTATCTAATCCTCTCAAATCACGCATGAAAATCTTAGTGTTGTTGCTAAACTGATCAAGAAAGACGCCGTATTTTTGGTTATTTATTTTATTTTCACAAGTGTTTTCCATCTCATCCAAGATCATCTTTACGACTGAATTGCTAAAACAAAAATGAATCTAATTGATTGTTGTAAATTATTTTGTAAATGCGCATGAAACGCTCTCTTTTATAATTATGAAAACGCTCCGTTATAGTGAATTAAAAATTAACTGTTAAGAATATTATGTAAAAATCATATCTACCTGTTCATGATATGAATATTCTGACATTTCTAAACGGAACACTTCTCAATTAACTTACTACTACACACGTTAAACTTTGAAGACAAACCTCAAGTGTACACGAATGACAAATGTAACCTAGTGTGTATGAACTTTTGTCTTTGTTTTGGTGTGGTGAATCCGCCCCCAAATATTCTAAAGGTATTTTTGAAACACTCTATATATAGATACGTGTGTGTGTGTGTGTGTGTGTGTGTGTGTGTGTGTGTGTGTAATTAGAAGAAACAGTCCACGTGTGCCCGTCCTGGGTATGACGATAAACTCCGTCCAACAGCAAGGCCTCTGATCAGGAGGTTTTGAGGAGCGTCGAACCACCTCCTAATTGCTGGTGTTCCCAAGTCCACTCTGACCCTGGGTGGTAGCACCTGTTACGGTCCCAGCTATGGGCAAATAGTTAACCCCAAACTGGGGACAAAAAAGTATGAAAGCGTAAAATAGGTTTTGAAACCAGCAATACATTTTTGTAAAAAGATTATTACCAGTAATGAATTTTGAAGGAAAAATAATTACCAGCAATAGATTTTTTAATAAAAAATATTACTAGGAATAACAAATATTTTCGGCATCAAATAAACCATTGAGTTTGATAAGAAACAAACCAAGTGTGCTTGTTATATTGATTTTCCAAGCATAGATGCGGCACAAGGCCGAAAGTAAAGGGCACCCAGTGAGGTTTGAACTCACTACTCAGTTGTAATTGTTCTAGCGAGGCCAGCTTGCTAACCATTACACCGCCTCGAGGTGCCCCAACTGTACATGTTATAATATGTAAAATAAATAGGTTAGTTAATAAAACAATGACAAACATTAAATATTAATTATTAACCATATCATTTCTGTCATATGATTAATAATTAATATTTAATAAATGTTTATCGTACTGATTATATTGGTAGCCTTTACGTTTGTCCTTGTTTTATTAATTAACCTATATAGTTTACACACAGAGACACATACACATATATGTGTGTATATATATGTGTTACCGTGTATGTGCGTGTGTTTGTGTGTGTGTGTGTGTGTGTGCAAGTGCATGATAAATTGAGTCCCATCGTTTAGACCCTTTTAACCTGCTTTTAGGGCTGCATGAAATCCAATGACGGGACATTGCAAAGGCCTACCGAATAGCAATAGTGGGAAAGTGTCGAGTCACTTTCCCCGATAGACGGTGGGAGGCGTTTTTACTCGGGTTATATAAACAAAGTGACAAGAATGATAAAGTTTAAGTAACGCACCCGCTTCGTCACGCACATAACTTATAAATCGGGAAAGACGAGAAATGCAAAAGAGAAATAAAGAATCGAGGAATAAAAATAATTACATTGGCAAGCGGGACATTGAGATTTAGACACATAAGATAACGAGTGGAATGTCATTGATCCGGGTATCAAGAGGTCATATGTACACACGCACGCACGCACGCGCACGCACGCGCACACACACAGGCACACGCACACGGACACACAGACACAAACACAAACACACACACAGACACAAACACACACAAACATTCCAGATTTATAAAGCTACTCGATCGTAAGTATAAATAATTGTCCAATAATCTACCAAAAACAACAATAACAATATATATTTTGAGTTGAATGCACGAAAGAGCTAAAAAAGGTTTTTTTAATTTTTAATTTTTGAATAAAAGAAACAGTCGAGAAGATAAAGTTAACTTATTAAGTGTACCTGTTCCCTATTTTTCTTCATCTTTTTTGGTTTTAGAATCCCTGGCTATTGCGAGAGGGGTTAACATTGTTATACCTCGAAAGGCCAGGGTGTCGTTTTCGACATTATCAGAAACCATTATCACGCAAGAAATTAATGATACAAACATGATGATATGGGTGTCGACATTATTAGCCGATATCCGCAATAATTTAATAATACAAACATGATGATTGGATCAACCAACTTAAATGTCGATTTCGACATTATCAATTACCCATTATCACGCAATAATTTAATAATACAAACATGATGATATGGATAACCGGTCGTCGATTTCGACATTAAATCATGCAATAATTTAATAATACAAACACGATGATATGGATCAACCAGCTTAAATGTCGATTTCGACATTATCAGGGGCTATTATCACGCAATAATTTAATAATACAATCACGATGATATGGATCAACCAACTTAAATGTCGATTTCGACATTATCAGTGGCCATTATCACGCAATAATTTAATAATACAAACACGATGATATGGATCAACCAACTTAAATGTCGATTTCGACATTATCAGTGGCCATTATCACGCAATAATTAATAATACAATCACGATGATATGGATCAACCAACTTAAATGTCGATTTCGACATTATCAGTGGCCATTATTACGCAATAATTTAATAATACAAACACGATGATATGGATCAACCAGCTTAAATGTCGATTTCGACATTATCAGTGGCCATTATCACGCAATAATTTAATAATACAAACATGATGATATGGATTTAACTTAAATGTGGACATTATCAGTGGCCGTTATCACGCAATAATTAATAATACAATCACGATGATATGGATCAACCAACTTAAATGTCGATTTCGACATTATCAGTAGCCATTATCACGCAATAATTTAATAATACAAACACGATGATATGGATCAACCAATATTTCGATTATCATAATAATTAATACAATCACGATGATATGGACCAACCAACTTAAATGTCGATTTCGACATTATCAGTGGCCATTATCACGCAATAATAATACAATCACGATGATATGGATCAACCAACAAACACGATGATATGGATCAATAATTTAATAATACAAACCAATGGATCAACCAAAATGTCGATTTCGACATTATCAGTGGCCATTATCACGCAATAATTAATAATACAATCACGATGATATGGATCAATTAGCTTAAAATGTCGATTTCGACATTATCAGTAGCCAATTACGCAATAATTTAATAATAAACACCGATGCAATAATTTAATAATACAAACATGATGATATGGACCAACCAACTTAAATTTCGTCGATTATCACGCAATAATTAATAATACAATCACGATGATTGGATCAACCAACTTAAATGTCGATTTCGACATTATCATTATCACGCAATAATTTAATAATACGATGAATGGATCAAAACAAATGTCGATTTGATTATGATCAATCAATAATTAATAATACCAATCACGATGATATTAAATGTCGATTTCGACATTATCAGTGGCAAACACGATGATATGGATCAACGCAAATGTCGATTTTCGACATTATAATGGCCATTATAATAATTTAAATACAAACATGATGATATGGACTTAAATGTAGATTTCGACATTATCAGTGGCCATTATCACGCAATAATTTAATAATACAAACATGATGATATGGAGCTTAAATGTCGATTTCCAACTTAAATCACGCAATAATTTCGACATACAATCACGATGATATGGATCAACCAGCTTAAATGTCATTTCGACATTAATGGCCATTATCACGCAATAATAATACAATCACGATGATATGGATCAACCAACTTAAATGTCGATTTCGACAAATGTCGCAATAATTTAATAATAAAAACACGATGACATGGATAAATGTCGATTTCCACATTATCAGTGGCCATTATCACGCAATAATTAATAATACAATCACGATGATATGGATCAACCAACTTAAATGTCGATTTCGACATTATCAGTGGCCATTATTACGCAATAATTTAATAATACAAACACGATGATATGGATCAACCAGCTTAAATGTCGATTTCGACATTATCACGCAATAAATTAATGATCAAACATGATGATATGGATCAACCAGCTTAAATGTCGATTTCGACATTATCGGTAACCATTATCGCAATAATTTAAAACAAACGATGATATGGATCATCCAACTTAAATGTCGATTTCGACATTATCAGTGGCCATTATCACGCAATAATTTAATAATACAAACATGATGAAACATGTCGATTTCGATATAGATCAATCACGATGATATGGATCAACTTAAATGTCGATTTCGACATTATCAGTGGCCATTATCACGCAATAATTAATAATACAATCACGATGATATGGATCAACCAACTTAAATGTCGATTTCGACATTATCAGTGGCCATTATCACGCAATAATTTAATAATACAAACACGATGATATGGATCAACCAACTTAAATGTCGATTTCGACATTATCAGTGGCCATTATCACGCAATAATTAATAATACAATCACGATGATATGGATCAACCAACTTAAATGTCGATTTCGACATTATCAGCAATTAT